AGAGAGAACAGACAGAGGTGAGTTTAAAGAGGTAAGTGGGTGCAGTGTAGGTCAGTAGGAACCGGTTGACTTTTTCAGCTTATTTTAGCAGAAGAAAACAGATTCACTGAAGATGATTGGAATGCATTGTTCTTCAAGTCAGTGAAGCATCTTCTCTGCTTTTGAGTGGTGAGTGAGCAGAGAAGTCAAGGGTGTAAGCTATCTGATAACCACAGCTGTTCCTGTGAGAGATCCTGGTGATTCATACCCGCATAGCATCAGGGAAGCCAGGGAAAGTGGTCAGATCCAGGCAGACTCCAGAGACACAGGCAGCAGGATTTGTTCACATCACCAACAAGGATTTGAGGTAAGGATGCTGCAACTCTCAAAAAGTGTTGTAATTAGCTTTCTCTTGCTGTGGAAAAACACAGAAAGCAACCTGGGGAGGAAAGGATTTGTTTTGCTTGTTTGTTTGTTTGTTTACAGGTTGCAGTTTATCACTGAAGGAAGCCAAGGCAGAAGAAACTCACGCAGGGTAGGAACTGGGAGGCAGGAATGGTAGCAGAAGCAGAGACCATAGTGGAACGTCACTTATTGACTTGCTTCCCATGGATTTCTATACCTGTTTTTTCTTTTTGTTATCCAGGACCACTTTCCTAGATGTAAAACAGCCCAAAATGTGCTGATCCCTTCCACATCAGTCTTTTACCAAGAAAATGCCCTACTGACTAACTTACAAGACCATCAGGTTGAGGCATTTTCTCAATTGATGTTCCCTCTTCCCAAATGACCCTAGCTTGTGCTAAGTTGATAGGAAACTAATGAGTATTACAGGTGACAGGGAAAATTCTGGAGGGATCCCAGAAGCAGAGGCCAGGAACAGATATGTAAGTCAGGGGTAGATGCACAAAGGTTGAAGGGTCTTCTCTGGTGTGTCCATTAGGAAGCTGAACTATAAGTCTACAGTTCAAAGGGAAACACAACAATCAAGACATAAGCTTGAACTTTGCTGGTGTGTAGTTTCACCCATGAGTTTTGATCTATTACATGGCAATATGATTATTAAAAGAAAGCATAAAATTATATCTCTTCTGTGAACCTTGCCAAATTATGAATAAACTGGCAAGCTGCATTTTCCTGAACTATCTTAAATCCTTTTGTATTCATAATACTTTCACCCAGACTAACCTTCTGTCTGGCCCTGTCAAAGAGAAGCTGCATATGGAGAGCTCCCCTGATCTTTCCCTGATCATTGGGAACACAGGGGGCCTATGTTGCTGGTAGGCCAGTGAGTACCAGGAGGCTGCTTGTCTCTACCTCCCTAGACATAACCTTATAGACACATGTGGCTGTGTCTTGCTTTTGGGACTAAATGTCAGGTCCTCATGCCTGCACAGCTAGAGACAGAGCCATCTTCCCGGCCCCAGAAAAAAAAAAAAAAAAACAAAACTGAGTTGGAAGTATGTTTTTCTTTTTTGAGTTACTGTATCTTACTTTTTATCGTTTTGATTTTTCTTCCCCTTCCATATGTAAGGTTTTCTTTGAATTCTCCACATCATCTCCTTAACCTCTTATGCACTCTGATCTTACAAAGAGACAAGACGTTTCACAGTGTATCTGCCATGCCCTTCAAGTCAGACACCCACTGTTAGCTTGTCTGGGCTCTTGGAAAGTCAAGAAAGTTAATATATTTATGATGAAAAACTGCACTGAGAAGTCACATCTGTCCAGAACTTTTACAACGTGTGTGTGTGTGTGTGTGTGTGTGTGTGTGTGTGTGTGTGTGTGTGTGTGTGTGTGTGTGTTGGGGGAAGGGGCAGTTTTGCCTGATATGTCTGGGTTCCCTTTTTGCAGGTGAGTGTGCATGTGGAGGTCAGAGGTTGGCATAGGATATCTTTCTTCATTGACTTCTACCTTGTATCCAGAGGCAGAGTTTTCCATTCAACACCACCATGGGTGGACTTTATTTTCTAGCTAGTCAGCTTGCCCTGTGGATTCCCCGTTTGTGCCTCCTGGGTGCAAAGATCACAGGTGGGCTGTCTTGTCTGGACTATCACATGGGTGCCAGGGATTCGAACTCTGATCTTCATACTTCTTTCGCCAGTACTTTACTCACTGAGCTGCCTCCCCAGCTCCCCGTCATGGCAATATTTTACTAATAGCCTCATGCCTGAGACTACCAGTATCCACACATGCTCTTTATTCCTTTTTTAGCTCTAGGACATTCTCTTTCTGTGTTTGACTCTAAAACAATCAATTTGTGCCAAGAAGAGGGAAGAAAGGAAGCAAAACAACAGGTAAAAGGAACTGCTGAAAGAATTGTAAATCATGCTTCTGAAACAGCCTTCTTAAATAAGCAAATTGGGCTTAGAAATCTGATATCAAGTGTCTGTGTTGAGATGACCTTTTCTAATCTTTGTGCTCTGGTCCCCAATGAACCTTGCTGTAAGGCAGTTCTGCATGTTCTCATTCATTTTGCTCCTTATTCTAGGAATATTAGATTTTTCCATTTCCCAAATATGTTTTTTCCCTTCCAGAAATACATCATTGACTCTTTCAGCGACCACAGAAAAATGACTTTGTAGCCTTTAATGTGAGGTCTGTGGGAAGCTTATTAAAGATGTGCTGAAAGAGGCCAGTATTTTTGACAGCTTGCCCCTAGCCCTCTTCCTCCACATCCAACTTGGACTTGAGAATATAGCACTGAAAACATAATGTGTATACTGTAGGAAAAATGTGGCTTGGGGTCTTTTTATAATGATAGAAATCTATGGTTTGTGTGTATGTGTACCTACTTGTATGTTTTTTGTGTTGATGTTGTACAGATGCACTTGTGCATGTGGAGGCCAGCGGACACCCTTGGGTGTTCTTCCTCAGGCACCACTCACTTTGCTTTTGAAACAGGATCTCTCACTGGTCTGGAACTCACCAAACAGGCTAGACTAGACAGCCAGTGGGTACAAGGGATTTGACTGCCTGCGCCTCCGCGGCACTGGCATTACAAGCATCCACCATCACATATGTGGATTCTGGGTTATTGAGCTCAGGTCTGCATGTTTGTATGGCAAAAACTACTGATTAAGCTATTTATTTATTCCACAACCTTGGAGAGTTTCCTGGAGAAAGTTAAGATCCTGTTAGTTCAAAGTAACAGAATCTCAACTCCAGCCAACCTGAGTGAAATGAATATTTTCCTGGAGAACTCTTGATGTATCTCACAGAATGCAACACACTTTACAGCAGTCCTCAGAAGGTCTGGGAGTGAAAGCGGATCCTGGGGACAAGAGAAACCAAAGAGCAAATGTCATCAGGGCTCCCTCCACCTCTTGTTGTGCTGTGCGCTGCAGGTCACCAGATCTTTATCCATGTATCTTTTTCATTCTTTATATGCATGAAGTTATGATCATAATAGATGTTGGGATCTTGTGTTCCATAGTACAAACCACCAAAATCAGGCTATTTGCAATTTTCTTGGCATCATAACTAAAAGAGCCGGGTGGTGGTGGTGCAAGCTTTTAATCCCCGCACTCAGGAGTCAGAGCCAGGCAGATCTCTGTGTGTTGGAGGCCAGCCTGATCTACAGAGCAAGCTCCAGGACAGGCAACAAAACTACACAGGGAAAGCATGTCTCGAAAACCAAACCAAAACAAAAGAACAAAACAAAACACAAAAACATGAAGGAAATCATAGAAAAGACATTGCTTATTTTTCTGTTGTTAAAGCAATAACTGCATTGTTGAGACAGCAGAAAATTCATGTAGTAAAGGTGCTTGCTGTCAAGGCTGACATGTTGAGTTCAGTTCTAGAGACCCACATGGTGGAAGGAGAGAACTGACTCCTTCAAGTTGTCCTCTGACCCCTACACATCCTCCATGGCATGTGCCCCTTGCCACCACATGTACACCCGCTAAATAAGTAAATAAATAAACAAATGTAAAAAGAATATTTAAAACTAATGTCTTTGTTGGCTGCCTGGAACAGGCATGTGATAACTGGGGCCTCTTTGAATCTGCATGGGGGTAGGTAAGATAGAATGAACAGGCATGAACTAAACACCCTCATGGGAGCCTTAGGAAGGTGAGCTCAGGGTAAGAGATGTTCAGAAGCTGGGCTGGAGAGTTGCCTCAGCAGTTAAAAGTATTTGCTGTTGCAGAGGACCGTGGTTCAGTTCCCAACACCCACATGGTGGCACACAACCATCTGGAACTTCACTTACATGGTATCCAATACACTTTTCAGGCTTCCTTCAGCATCAGGAACACATGCATGTGGTACACATTCAAACATGTAGGAAAGCACTCCTACCCATAACATGGGAAAAATAAAAATAAACAAAAAGGAGATGCTCAGAAGCAAGGTAATGGCAGGATACAAAAGATGAGAGAAGTGCCTGCCAAGGGTGTTCAAAACAGTGCTGTTCCCACACTTTTTAGGAGGGGTAAGTGGGGGTACATGGGAGGTTGGGAGGTGATGTGTCTTACTCAGATTTTGTTATAAGGGCACTATATTGGTTTGGCTTAACTAGTAAACGTCTTCAGGATGACTTTGGCACTTTCTGAAAAGGCAGAATTTCCTTGCGTGTTAATTAGGGGAGGCATTAATCTTTAACTGTTTCTGTAGATTGAGATAGCTTCCTGGCCATCTTCAAAGAGAAGCACAGACAGTCATCTCTAGGACTGTTGCTTTTTTTCCCTTTCCTTTTAAAGGCCACCATACTCTCACATGTAAAGGAATAAGCCTTCCGCACTGTGTGCCACAATAAACACAGCATTCTACAGAGTGCTCCCACTTCTGTTTAACTCTGCAATAGCACTGAAGCCCTAACTAAAGGTAGAATTCAGCTCTGAGACCCCCACTACCCAGAAACTCAGGCAGATCCGTATGGTTATCGTATCATTTAATTCTGACAGTTACAAGACTTTAGCAGATCTGTTTCCCACTGTGGCTCCCAAAGTTTTTGCTTGCCTCTCTGTTCCAGCTGTCTTGGTTTATCTTGTTTATTACCCATTTTCTCCCATTAGGTGTTTGCCAAACTACTGTGAACATGGAGGACGCTGTGCCCAATCCTGGACTACCTTCGACTGCAACTGTAGTGAAACTGGTTACACGGGCGCCACCTGCCATGACTGTGAGTACACGCCGTACACCCACAGTGTGAGGACACAACTCAAGGACACAGTGTGGGGACCCCGGGCGTTCACACAGTGCGGACACTCTTGATTCCTCTAGCATGAACTTTCCAATAGGATGTTATATCCAAATACTAAAGCAGGCCAGGAAAATGCAAGAACATAAGACATATCTTTGTGGAGTTTATGTGATTAGGACAAACAGTGAACTTGGATATACGCTAAAGTAGAAGAGAGAATGGTGATGTAAGTACATAAGGAGCTGTGGAACAAATGGCATTGTCTTGATGGCTTAAGTTGAACTGTTGCAACAAGTTACTAATATATATCACTGGTGCAAATAACAAGTGGCAAGATGTAGGTCTTGGTTATTATCTCGTTGCTATGATAAAAACACTCTGACCAAAGCAACTTGAGGGAGAAAGGGCTCATTTGGATTTATAGCTCCAGAAGGATACAGTCCATCACGAAGGAGGAAGACATGGCAGCACCTGGGGAAAGCATGGTAGAAAGAACAGAAATCCTGAAAGGTCGCTTTGTATCCACACTCAAGAAGCAGAGCGTGAACAGGAAATGGGGTAAAGCTATACAGCTTCAAGTACCACCCCTAGAGACCCATTTCCTCCAGTGAGGTCCTACCTCCTAAAGGTTCTGCAATCTTCCCAAACAGCCCCGCAAGTCAGGGAACAACTGTTCAAATGTGACCCTAAGGGAGACACTTCACATTCGAACTACAACATGGGTAGACCACAAGTCCCTCAGACATCAGCCTGCTTTCTTCCTCATTGTCCTCATTATGGGTGGTATGGTAGAAGTCACCTCATCTGAATGTTGCCATGGCTAAGGGAAGGAATCCCACAGTGAGGAAACAAAACTGTGTTGTGATTCAAAGGCTTCCATTGAAAAAGTGGTTTAGGGTTACTTCTCACATTCCATTGGTCACATACTACCCTAGCATCACCCCCAATAGGAGGCAAAATGCATTCAGACCACAGGAGGTGACACTATAGAACCAGAGTATTGGTGATAAGTCTTGATGACTACCTGTCAATCCTGGATATTTGGAAAACTTCATTCTGAAGGCCTGTGCTGATCTTGTCCCAGTTACGGAAAGAAAACAGAAAGAAAAGGATTATTAGAGTAACGAAGCAAGTTGGATCTGCAGGTGTAATGGTGTCCTGTGGAGAATCTCTGCAGAATCCCAGGCGCTGGCGGAGAACCCTGGTGATAAAGAGTGATGAAGCAGGAGAAGGGGGCTGGGCTCAGATATGTGAAAAGGGGCTATATCCATTTTCCTGCAGTTGGTGTAATTTCATCCTTTTTCAGGACAGAAAAGAATTTTACCATGTGTATCAACTACATTTTCATTATCAGTTCCTCTGTTGGCAGACAGCTAGGATGGTTCTATGATTTTTGCTACTGCGAAAAGTGCTACAAACAATACTGATGTGCACATGTTTCTGGAAAACTGACCTATGGTTCTTTGGGTTAATACCTATGAGTGGTGTAGCTGAGTTACATGGTTTGTCTAGCATTCAGTTTTCAAGACATTTTGTCTCACTTGCAGGTCCTAGATTGTATTAGATACATCAAGTCATACATACAGGTGACATGCAAGTATCAGTGAAGCATTCTGGGAAAAATGGAGTCAAATGACGGGTGGGGTGATGAGAGCCATTAGGCCTGGAACCAAAGATGCATAGCATGGTCCACAAGCTGTGGTTTCTTTTTTGTGGTATTGTGTGGGTGTATATGTATGTATGTGCATATGTGTGCATATGTGCTCGCTTATACTGGTGTATGTGGAGGCCAGAGTCTGTCAATTTCTTCTCCCCTTAGTTTTTTTTTTTTTTTCTGAGATGGTGCTCTCATACAACCTGGAGCTCACTGTTTTGGCTGCAATGGCTGGTTAGCAAGTCCCGAGGATCTACTTGTCTGCCACCTAGCTCTGGGATTGCAGTCACACAGCACTTTTACTTAGCTTTGATATGAGTTCTCAGGACCAGATCAGGGTCTCATGTTTGTGCACAGCAAACACTTCTAACTGACCTTTCTTCCCAACCCCAGGAGATTATTATTTGCATAATTACTCCTCAGAAATGGTGTTGGGTCAAAGGGCATGTGCAAAAGATTTGACTTCATACTTCCAACTTTTCAAAAGTCTTAGCATAATGTATACTTCACAGTTCTTTTCTGTGACTTTATTTTCCCCTCTGTGCCAGAATTACTTAACAGATCAAACTATTTACCATGTCTTTCTGCCAAGCATTTGGATATTGAAATGGAGATTATCATTTGTACTCTTGGGGAGTCTCAGACAATTTTTTTTTCCGATAACGGGTGTGACAGTAGAATGCGTGTCCCATAAAGTTGTCCTTTATCACTCAGCGCATGCTCCTTCAAGCACTTCTGGTTTCAGTAGTCATGTGTTTAATGATTGCTACACACTGAGCTGGCTTGCTAAGTGAGAGGGCAGTTGCATGGCAGCCTCTGTCTGCCTCCTATTGAGTGGCCATCCTTGATCTCTTTAACTTCTGTCTGGTGACATTCGCAGGGGCACATTCAGGGTCTCTCTGCCATGTCTCAGGCTCATCTAATCTTTTCACAGTGTAGATTGCTGACATCCTAATAAAGCCTTTCAGGTCAATTTTCAGCTCTACAAAAGGATGTCAGCTTTCTTCTCTCAAGTCTGATGGAATGCTGCTGGCTTTGGGCAGTCAATAGGCAGATATTGACTGGGAGCATATCCAGCTGTCTGGCTCTCAGACTTAAAATGGTCATCACAGAGCAGGGAGGCTTTGCTAGTTTCTCTGTAGGTAAACAGTCCTCTTAGTCACATTTGGATGATTGTACATGGTGAGGAAATTTTGACAATAAAAAGATCTATTTCAAAGTATTTCACATCTTTATCTCAGGTTTAACTCATATATTGACTTTATTATATGAGTTCTTATCAAGATTGGCATTCTTTACTCTCAATGCCAATAGCAGATGGTTCACAACTTTAAGAGGATGAGAAAAAAAAAACGAATGAAGGAACAAAATGAGCAGAAGGGGGAACAGAGAGAGAAAGAAGGGGAATGAGAGGAAGAGATAAGAAGGAAAGAAGAAGAGGAGCAAGAAAGGAGAGAAGGAAGGAGGAGGGAACAAGATGAAGTGGAGAAAGGCAAGAACAAAGAAGCAGAAGAGAAGGAAGAAGTGTGTGTGTGTGTGTGTGTGTGTGTGTGTGTGTGTGTGTGTATGCACACACGTGCGTGGGAACATGCAGACAGCTTAACACTGTGATGTCCAGAGTCTACCGCAATCATATTTTGAAACAGAGTCTCTCACCGAACCTCAGGTTCACTGATTCCTCCTAGACTAGGAAGCCAGTGAGCTCCAGGGGTCTTCCTCCCCAGCCCTGGTGTTAGCTGCCCACATCCCACATCTATTTTTTATAGAGTGCTGGAGATTGAATTCAGGTCCTCAAGCCTGTAGAGCAAGCTCTTTTGTAATGGAACAACCCATCTCCCTCCAGCACTGATCTATTCCACAACATATAGTAGATATCTAATCCTTGACAGATGCTGAAAAACATGAGTGAGCTTGTGATACTGCACACACCATGATGCTCTTTTACTAGGCTGGGAATGCTGTTTCTGGGAAAGGGAAGCCATTTCAGAATAATAGAGGCTTCAAAAGAGATTTGAAGGATGAAAAGGAGCTGATTAACAAGAGGGAGTCAACAGGATGACTTTACATACTAGTAAAGGCTCTTGGTTGGTCAAGCATGATGACCTGAATTTGACCCCCCAAGACCCACATGGGGAAAGGAGATAACTGATTTCTGTAAGTTATTTTCTGACCTCTGACTCTCTTAATTACACACACACACACACACACACACACACACACACACACACACACACACACACGATAAATAAATAAATAGATGTAATAAAATTATTTTCAAAGAACAAACTTCTGGCAGAAGAACTGCTGCAAGCCACAGGAAAATGTAATGGAATTCAGCTCCTACCACAAAAGCTACTACTTGGAAAAGTCAAGGACTTCTCCAAAGGTCAAGCCATGGCTTAAGAAGTCTTGGTGATATTTGATATTTTAGCTTTTGTATGTATATATATATATATATATATATATATATATATATATATATATATATATACATTAGCTAGTTTCTACAGTGATTTTCTTGTAATACTATGTGTGCTTCCAAGAACTCCTAACAGTGTATTTATCTAAAATACCTATCAAGCATCCAAGGACAAACGGAACAACACCTGTCTCCTAGTCAAGAGGATAGCTTTATTTCTTGCGCAATTTAGGGTGAGACCCTCCTTTTTTACAGCCTTACTAAGAGACTCCTAATTTCTTACCTAACCACTTCTAGGAGTGTAGATTGAGCACCTAAAGCACTCATTTGGGTTGTGAAAGAAAGCCTGAGGTCACTGCCTGAGGAAAATTCTTACCTGCCTTTATGACCCCATAAGAATTCATGCCTGGTGACCTTGCTCTGCCAGAGGATCACTATGGGTTGGGTTTATAACTGAACATCTCAGAGACAGGGAACTGAGGTGTAAGGAGAACGAAGAGAGGATATTGAGGACTTTGGCTGGAGAGGATTTTTGACTATAGAACTGGAGGTCAGGATGGAAGATGAGGAAGAGCCAGATTGGAAAGTACTAGATGGGTAAGAAGGAGATGAGAAGAACCTAGATGAGACAGAACGAAGATGAGGGAATTAAGATAGAACTTAAAGGGGACAGCAGATGAAGGCAGAGACAAATCAGGCAAGAAAGGAACTAGGCTTGAGTACAGAGCTGTAGCTGTGTAGACAGGATTTTATCCCAGAGGAATAAAGTAGATGGACAAAGAGCATGGTGTCCTTAGATTCATTTTCAGGTGAAAATAGTTCTTGCCTTTCGTAGTTTGTCTTCTGAGCCCCTAGGAAGTATATTCTTAAGGGCAGTCTTTTAATAATATACAAGAAAGAACAATC